TTTTATTTTTTTTTTATTATTTTGCCCCCTGAAGGGCTGGGGGGGGGGAAGTGAGGAGGGAGCTGGAAACGGCCCCTGCCCCCCCTGCACAGCCCCGGCTGCCCCCTGCAATTCACAGCCCCTAAAACTTCAAGGCTGGGGAAAATGCAGAGAGGGCACTGAGATTTTTTTGGGGGTGGCCTGGAAAGGAAAGGAAAATGGCCCCAAACAGAAGGTCCCCATAGGGGTGTAAAAAGGTCCCCCTCAGCCCCCTCCCCAGGCTTTGGCAAGCTGCAAGGGGAAATCAAGGCACGGGTCCTTGTCCCCCTCATCCCCTGCTTTAACCACCAGTCGTCCTGGCTGTAATTTGTCACCCTGTGTGGGTTTTCACCCAGTTAACCCCAAATTCCCAGGTCCCTTCATATGGGAGGGAAAAACCAGGACCAAGCAAACCTGTTGGCGGGTGCTTGTCCAGCCTGGCTGGGCTCTGGAGCGAGCTTTGCAGGGCCCACGCCGGGCATGGGATGGGGCTGGGTACAGGCCAGAGGGGCTGCAACATCCCCCGTTGGTCCTCACTGCCCACCCCTGGGACACGAGGAGGCAACGAGCTGGCTGGATGCTTTGCGGCCTTTTTCTTGCTGCTCCATCCTGCAAAGCCACCCCAGCCCGGCTGGGATGGAAGCACCACCGTCAGGCGAGGGTATTTCCCACTAACCCCCAGTTTGGTGCTCAGGAGGGCAGGAAAGTCACCCCTGAGAAGCGTTCCCCCAGCTGGGATGAAAGATCTCCGGGAAGGCGACGGGACCAAAAATCCCCAGCCGGACCCCCTTTGCCCAGCTTATCCCTGCAACCTGCCCCAAGGAATATATTTAGTCGCTCGATTCCTTTATGATTCTGACCCCCTGACATGGGCCGCAGGGCTGCAGCGGCTCCGCTTTGACGGATTGTGGATTTCCTCTCCGCGCTGCCAGAAAGCCGGCGGGCCGGGGCGCGATGGGAAGGCATTTCCTCAGGCCGGCCGGCCGCTGCCCCATCCGACCCATGCACGGAAAGGGGGGAAAAACCCCGTGCAGATCCCCAGCCGGGGTGTTTGTGCAGGTAGGCAGCGATCTACCACGTGCCTGGGTGTTCCTATTGACTCTTGGCAGGTTACGAGCGCTGGCGAGCGCGGTCTGTAAATGTGAGCGATGCGGGCTCAGGATCCGCCCGGGTTTCCTGGTCTCTCCCCTTCCTTCGCACGGGAGCGGGATGGTTACGGTTCTGTTTTCTCGTGGGTTACGGCGATTTGGGGGTCCGGAGAGGTGGCAGCTGCCAACTTTGCTTGCAGCCGAAGCAGCAATGCCCTTTCTGAGCTTTTCCCCAGGACCGAATTAAAACCCTGCGGAAGCAACAACATTTTCCAAAGGAACTGATTAAATCTATTAAGCTATTTACAAGTGGGCTCGATCAGAGCTGCGTTATCTGGGAATACAACAGGAAGGCAACTTCTCTTAAATCTAAAAGGCGCAGGAGATTTCCTGGTCTCGGGACAGATTTATAAACCCTTTGCAGACACACACAGAGGCAGGCTGGCGCATAGCGACTGCCTTTCATCTGGGTTTTGGAGCCATGCACGCTCCTGGGGACAGCCCGGGCCGCCCCAAGGCTTGGCACAGCGGGCTCGGGTTCTCTCCCCAAGTCCTGTCTCACGCCTCGGAGTGCCGGGCCGGGGCAAGGAGGGAGGATGCCAAACCCTCCATCCTGCTCTGAACAGGTCTCCCGGGTGCCTTTCACAGGCGGGGGGGGGGGGGGGGGGGAGGTTGCTGCAGAGGTTGGGAAGAAAACCCGTAACATCCTTCTTTTTTTTTTTTCTGATTTCCCTTTAGTAGGGGTTGAAGTGCACCGAAAAAGAGACGGCCCAAAGCCGCAAGGTTTCATTTGGAATATGGTGTTGCACCGCTCCGCGTTATTTCTTAACCCGCAGGATGCAAAGGGCCGAGATATCATCATTATTATAAAAATAATGGACTCTACACTTCAGGCCCCCGCAGGCCAGAACATTTTTAGTGGTGGAATATATCCCCCTGAGGGAAAAGAGATGAGTTCCACTCGAGCCCTTTTACAGGACATGTGGCAGGGCCACCGTCCCGCTCTGCCTTTCCTCCAGGATGGGGGGAAAGGTCTGGGCGAGGGTGAAGTGCCCGGCCAGGCCGGGACCTGCGCCCACCACAGGGGCCTGGAGGCTCTCGGAGCAGCTCCCCGGGTTTTCCCCATCTTTGCTATTCCCTCTGCATCGTGGGGGTAACATCGCTCCATCTCCCCCCGGGTACTGCAGGGGTACACTCAATGTGGCTTTT